TCATGTGGGATAGCGTGGCGTCGCGTGGCTTGTTGGCTAATGGGGTCCCGGTTTAGTTCGATCTTTGGGGTATAATAAGATTATTGAAATACAAACTATAACAAATTGTATATAAACATGAAATACAACAAGACAAAGTTCTTAATTAAAATTAATAATATCGTGTGTGGTCTGTTCGGTAGCGCCAACTTGTTGAGGGTCTTTTCGGGTGTGGAATTATGTAGGTATGTATATAAAATGATCATTTTTTTTTTTTTTTTTTATTTTTTTTTGACGTTATTTTTTACCAACTCTGTGAAAAAAGTTACTGAATATTCTTTAAATGAGTGCCTGAACGAAACAGATAGTTTCGTTCACATACACTCTTTTTACTTTCGTGAAATAGAAAAAGGAAATAATAAACAAGTGGACGTTTTCCTTTCTTGCAAAATCAACAAGAAATGTCATACTTGACAAAAGTAATATTCATCAGCTTTTTGACATTTCTAATTTAGACAATGCCGTCATAAGAAACAGCAGGAGCCGAGAGTTTATGACGTAGCTAGTTAATTACTACGGTTATAAATTGTTGTGAATACATTGGAAACATAAATTATTCCTCGTATTTTGGTTCGATATTTTAAAAATGAGTTTTCTACTCAAGAGTATACAGGTGTAATAGTTTACATGAAATATACATATATAGAGTTATAAATAATATAATATATACTATTTAGTAATAAATATTTTGGCAAATAAACTATGAACTATAACAAATGCAGCAAATGTTTATTAAATATACAAATAATGAATAGGCAGTACATAAGATAATGGGTAACATGTAAAATTTATTTTAAATTTGGGGTTATGGGAAAATCGATCTATTTTAACAAAAAATTCAATATTATAATAGTGATTATAGTGTGAAATAGATAGTTAATATATGATGTTTATTTATTGCTTAACAAATTTATTTTTTATATTTAATAAATGTTTTTTTTTTTTTTAGATTTTCATCTAATAGCGAAATGACCAAAAATTTTTTAATTATATATTTCTTAACACAAAAATCTATCTACATTGACTATGATACGATTTTAGCCATATTGTAAAGCATTTGCTGCTTTGTATGGTTCATAGTTTATTCTGGAAAGGTATTTATTACTATAAATAGGTCTATATATTGTATTTATTACGATGTTATTATGTATTTCATGTAAACTATATCATTTTTAAAATACAATAAAAATACGAAGGAATAATTATGTTTTCCGTCACAATATATTAAGTATTCTTACCAACATTATTGTATAAATTGTGGTATCTAACTAAAGCGTGACGTCATAAATCTCATAATCGAGGCTGTTCTATTAGATACGGCATTGCGTCAGCATGGCCGCAAGTTGCTAACGTAATAAAATTAACACTAGAAAAGCCGACAGCCGACGGTAACTGTCAAATTCAAAGTTATTCGTTTTACAGACTATACACCTGTGTTTTTTAAATAACATATAACTTTCTTATGCTGACTAATTACAAAAGTACCCTGAGGGAAACTGTGAAAAATATAACGTGTATGAGATAAAAAGAGAGTTGAAGAACAAAAGCAAAATAGTGTTGAGAGCAAAAGAAGGTTTCAGCAAAAAAAGTTGTGAGGGCCTGTCTTGCAGTTCTTTAAATAGTATTTAAGCTACAGAAATGCTAGAGGCGTACAGTACAATTTTCATGTTCTTAAATCTAATATTCAGAGCAGTGGACGACACTGCCCTAAATTTACATTGTTTAGACAGACGTCTGCGAAAGCTATATAAATTTATGATCAAAATTCAAAATTCATAGTTATCGAATAAAATTATATTGTAGGGTGTTTATGAACCTCAAAGGTTATGAAGGTTTTTATTGAAGATGGTATTATTCACTAAAACTAATATTAGCAATGAGGAGGGTTATAACATGTTTTAGTCCAAAAATGAGAACATTTTTCCCTATGGAGCTCTTGTTAAAACTACGAGGGTATAATACGGCTCAATTCTTTCAAAAATACTTCTGGATGTTTTATTTTAACCCAGGTACTTAATACTCGTTTAGCAGCAATTACAAAATGTTTACACGTTTAAATCATTAAAATTCTTCAGTAATTTATATATTTCGGTTCACAGAATACAGATAGAATATACAGGTGGGCATCGAAAAAAAAAGTCAATATTCTGTTTGGAGGGGACCAAACGCAAACCAAACAAAACCAAACCCTCTGAGCGGGGGTGTCTTCCCCAATTTTTTTTAAATGAAAAGGGGGGTCAAGTCGTATGCAATGAAAGGGCTTTCTATTCTCTATATCTCCCCGCTTCGTTTTTAAAAATCGGTCGAGTTATTGAGAAAATATAAAGGATTGAAATTTTAAAGTTTTATTTAAACATTTATCAGAGTAAAGATAAGGATAAATTACTTCGACCAACTTGCTGTTTTTTCTTATTATTTTCTAGATGTTTACGCATTTTTTCACTTTGCCACAAGGTGAACCGATCAGGTTGCGGTAGTTGCTAGATAACTGTTCAGTGACTTATGCGTTAAGTTTTCTCATACATCGTCAACTTTTTAATATTATTTGAAAAAAAAAAAAAAAAAAAAAATTTAATTTTAAAATAATGAAGTAGTGGAATGGGTTGGCGCAGATATTCAATGAATGCCATCTTGAAAAACACCTTTATGGCGAAATTGTTCGCGAGTTAGTAGCAAATTTCGCGAAACTGGTTTCGTTATGAATAAAAAGAGGCAGAGGGAAAATCCTGTTGTAAATGAAGCTATTGAGGTATTCGTATTGGGGCAAGTTGCTATGGATAGTACGCTGAGTACAAGAAATTAGCCAATGAGACCGGCGTCAATCGTACAAATGCTCAAAGGATATTAAAAAACGCAAGCAGTTCGTAAATCGTTCGTAAATGATCAAGAGAATTTTGATCGTCGCTTGCAATTTTATGAAATTATGAGTGAACGAGTGGCGATGATAAATTTCCTTTTATGTTGTTTTTTCGGGACGAGTGTATTTCATTTTTGACGATGTTTTCTGGCCAACGGGTGTATTGGCGAGGACAACTAGTGTTTTTCAGAGGTAACACAAAAAACCCCGTCAGAAATTGAACGCCTGGATGGTTTTTTG